GAGATGGACAAAACATTCCACTCAAAAGAGCAGATAAACTGGGCTGGGGCTGTAGTTCAGTGGCAAAGAGCTTGCCTAGCATGCGTGAGGCACTGGATTTGATCCTCAGCACCGCATAAAAATTAACGAATGAAATAAAGACACTCTGCCCATCTACAACTACAAAAAAAAAATAAAAAAAAAATAAAGATCAGATACACATTCTTCTCAGCTCTACGTAGAACATATACTCTATATCAGGTCACAAAACAAATCAAGATTAAGGGCTGGGGTTGTGACTCTTGTGGTTGAGCACTTGCCTAGTATGTGTGGGGCATTGGGTTTGATCCTCAACACCACATTAAAAAAATAAGTAAAATAAAGGTATTGTGTTCATCTACAACTAAAAGTGTATTTTTAAAAAAACAAGATTAAAATCATACAAAGTATTTTTAACCAATAACAGCAGGAAAACTGGAAAATTTCAAAGATGTAGAAGTAAAGCTGCAATGGCTCAAAGAAATCACAAGGAAAACTAAACAATATCTACAGATTAAATGATTGAGAACACAACCTACCAAAACATAAATGCAACAAAGGCAATGCCAAAAGAAAGGTTTATTGAAATAAATATCTTCATTAAAAAGGAAGAAAAAGGGCTGAGATTGTAGCTCAGTGGTAGGGTGCTTGCCTCGCAAGCATGAGGCACTGGGTTCGATCCTCAGTACCACATAAAAATAAATAAAAATATTGTGTTCATCTACAACTAAAAAAAAATAAATTTTTTTAAAGGAAGAAAGATATCTAATCAGTAACCTAACTTTACATCTTGAGAAACTACAAAAAGAAGAGCAAACTAAACTCAAAGCTCACAGAAGGAAGCAAATAATAAAGATTAGATCAAAGATGAGTAAAATAGAAAAACCATAGAATCAACACAGACAAAAATTCTTGAAAAGATTAGCACAAGTGGTAAAACCCGTAGATTTACAAAGGACAAAAGATGATGTGACTGATGGGCTGTGGTTGTGGCTCAGCGGTAAAGTGCTCACCTAGCATGTGTGAGGCACGGGGTTCAATCCTCAGCACCACATAGAGATGAAGTGAAGATATTGTGTCCACATAAAACTAAAATAAATAAAAGACGATGTGTCTGAAAGTAGGAATATTATTACCAACCTTACCAAAAAAGGAAGATATAATACTGTGAATGGTTTTGTACCACAGGTTAGATAGCCTGTAAGAAAGCAACAAATTTATAGAAACACAAAAATTATGAAAATTGACTCTATCTAAACATACCAATAACAAATAACAAGTTTGAATTAGTAATTAAAACTCCTAGCAAAGAAAAGTTAAGAATTAAACTACCTTTACTGCTAGCATTTAATGAATACCCAACTTTCTCAATTCTTTCAGCATATTGAAGAGGAGGGAACATTAATTTATTCTGTGAGGTCAGCAATAAATACCCTGATACCCAAGCCAAACAAAGAGCCTATAAAAAAAAAAAATTACAAACCTGTATCACTTATGGCTAAAGATGCAAATCTCTGAAAAGCATAATATCAAACTAAATCCAGGAACATCTTAAAAGTATTCTATCCTATGATCACATGGGGTTTAGCCCAGGAGTAGAAGAGTATTTCAGCTCCAAGAGAGCCACTGATGTGTGATCCACCAAAGGAACAGAAAGAAATATGAAAACCATGATCACCTCAACTCACGCAGAAAAAAGCTGGGCAAATTCCAACTTTCATGATTTTAAAAAAACCAAACAAACTGATAAAAGGCACATGGGGAAAAACCACAGTGACATCATGGTCAGAAGTAAAAGACTAACATTTGCCCTAATATCAGGAACAGGAGAGAGATGGCCTGCATCACCACTGCTGCTCAGCATTGTACTGGAAGTACAGATTCCAGAGCAGTTAGACAAGAAAATGAAATAACCAATGTCCAAAGCAGAAAGATGTAAAATGATTTACATAAGACAACTCCATATATATGAACCACAGAATCCACAGGAAAACTACTAGAGCTAATAAATTCAGCAAAATTTTGGGGCCCAGATCACTGTTTACACACACCAGCAATGAACCAATCTGAAGGGGAATTAAGAACACACTTCTATTTACATTAGCATCAATGGTAGGGGGAAATCCCACGAATAATTTTAACCAAGAAGATATAAAACTTATTCACCAAAGACTGCAAAACATTGTTAAAAGAGATCAAAGCAAGCAAAAAAACAGAAGTCATCATGTGTTCACAACTTGGAGGACTTAATATTCTTAAGATGCCCAAACTATTCAAAGTGGCATATAGATTCAGTGCAATTTTTTTTTTTTTTAGAGAGAATTTTTAATATTTTTTATTTTTCGGCAGACACAACACCCCTGCTTGTATGTGGTGCTGAGGATCGAACCCGGGCCACACGCATGCCAGGCGAGCGCGCCACCGCCTGAGCCACATCCCCAGCCCAGATTCAGTGCAATTTCTATCAAAATTTCAGTGGCATTTTTTTTGCAGAACCTAAAAAGTTCATCCTTAAATTCAGTGGAATTACAAAGGGCCCTGAATGGCCACTCTTGGAGAACAGAGTTGGAGGATTTACATGACTTGGTTTCAGGCTTACTACAAAACTGCAGTAGTCAAAATTGTTTGGTCCTGTCATGAAGATGGAATTGACTATCTAGAAATAAATCCATATATCTGTGACCAGTTGCTTTTTAACAGGGATGATAAGATCTTCCAGTCAATGAGGAAAGATAGCCCTTCAACACATGGCACTGTAACAAGTAGACATCCCCACACAACCCAACATCCCAGAGTTGGAACTAGGCACAGCAGTGCACACCTGTGATCCTGGCAACTCAGGAGGCTGAGGTGGAAGATCACAAGTTCAAGGCAAAGTTTTATTTTGTTTTGGTTTTATTAATTTTTTAGTTGTTGATGGATTTTTATTTATTTATATGTGGTGCTGAGATTCAAACCCAATGCTTGGCACATGCTAGGCAAGCACTGTACCACTGAGCTACAACCCCAGCCCAAGGCAAAGTTTGATCACAAGTTTTGAGTCTCAATTTTTCAAAAAGGGTGGTGGGACTTGGGCTGTATCTCAATGGTAAAGCACCTCTGGGTTCAATCCCCAGTACAAAAAAAAAAAAAAATGAAGCTAGATTCCTACCAATGCTGTATACAGAAATTAATTGAAATGAATCAAAGATATTAAGAGCTTAGAAAGCATCAAAGTCTTGGAAGGAAATAGGAGCAAATCTTCATAACCTTGCATTTGGCAATGGATTCATTAGAACATCAAAGGCACAAGCAACAAAAGAAAAATAAATGAATTTGACTTGATCAATCAAAGGACATTATCAAGAAAGTGCAAAGACATCCTACATAATGGGGGCAAATCTTTGTAAATCATGTTATGTGATAAAGGTATAGTACTGGAATATATTAAAGAAGTCTTACAATCCAACAACAAAACAACCCACCTTAAAAATGGACAAGGAGCCAGGTGTGGTGGCACATGCCTGTAATCCCAGCAGCTTGTGAAGTTGAGGCAGGTTTGCAAGTCCAAGACCAGCCTCAGCAACTTTCAAGATTCTGTCTCAAAATACATTTTGAAAAATGGGCTAGGGAAGTAGCTCAGTAGTAGAGCAACCCTTGGTTCTATCACCATTACCCGAGCAGGCAATGGGTTTGGAGGGCTGTGGGTGGGCAAAAGACTGACTGCAAATAAATGACTAACAAATGAAAAGAGGCTTAACATCATTAGTCACTAAAGAACTGCAAATCAAAACCAGAATCAGATTGCCACTAGAGTGTCTGTCCACAATAAAAATAAAAAAAAAAAAAAGAGACTGCTCCGTAATGAAGGGTGGGTGGTTGCATAGCACTGTGAATGTGCTAAATGCCACCAAGTTGCTTACTGTAGAATAGTTAACTTCCATAGTGTGAGTTCCACCCTAATAAATCCTGAAATGGAAACAGAATCCCCTGCAAGAGGTGGGCATAGTGGAGCCACCTGAATGTGAGGTGTTTCTTTGGGGTCTGCACAACAGGTGGGCTGGCCTTGCACTGAGATTGCTGCTACACCCCATGATCTGTGACAGGTGACAGTCATGTGGGATCCCAGGAGTGTGGTCATGGCTGACGGACTCGAAGCTATGTTGCACACATCTGAAAGCCATTATTCAAACACCATTCACAGAAAGGTATTGTCTCCCAAAGGAAATACTGTCAGATGATTTTATGCTAGAAGGGCTGACTCCCAGTACATAAGAGTGTAGTGCAGGCAACTGTTTACTGTCAGATCTTTTCCTTTGCCTTTAAACAAAAGTTTTAGTAATATTTCCTAGATTTTCCTAAATGGAAACTATTTTTCTGATTTTTATATTTCCTTTCTAAAGAACTTTTTATCATTCTACAGTTTGCAGGTTGCAGAGATAAAGTACATCAAATTTAATATGTCCATAAAGTGATCTTCTACCATTCACAGAATTCATTTTTGATTTCTGTCTCAATAAATTTAAATTAAACAGTGACTCAGGCTAGAAAGCCCTATTGTCACACCAGTGACATTCAGTCAGGACACCAGATTCTGCTGGCAGACTGTATTTTATGGCTAGCAGGCTTATACTGGTTTTGAGGGGTTTTAAAGGGTTGTTTTTTAAAAAACAACAAAGATCATTTGACAAACCAAGCAACCAAAAAGCTTCAGATGACCTGTACAGAAAATCATTACTGACTGCTGTGTCATTGCCACAGCCCTTATTGATCCCCATCCTGACCCTTTTTCACACCAATGGAAGAGAGAAAGGACTCCCCGCAAGTCTTGGCAGGAGAGTGGAGGTACAGAAGCTCCAGGCTATCCGTGGCAGGGCAGTGGGATCTCTGCTCTCTTCACCAGCTCCTCCATAGAGGTGAGGTCAGCAGCTCTGCAGACCCATCTGTGTCTGCTGTTCCTGTCACTGCGGTTCCTTATATAACTCTAGTGTTTGTTGTTTCAGATTGTGGTATTAGGACAGAGGACAAGGAGTTTCACCCAAAGGAAGACGTTTTGGAGGATTTGGAATCACAGGCAGAAATGTCAGAAGACTGTGCTGGTGATATTTCCCAGGTATCTGAGCTTGGAGGACTTTGTGATGACATATTAGCCAGAGACTGGGGTGTCCCTGAAGGCAAGAGCCTGGGGCAATCCACACACCAGGATGGAGATTTGATGTCAGTAACAGTGCTCCTCAAGGGCCCTTTAGGGGAGAAAGGTCTGGACTGCAGTGGTGTTGACCAAAGCTTCAATCTGAGCCCCAGCCAGATGACACATCAGGAAGTCCCTACAAAAGAGAAACTACATCCAGATGACACATATGGCCAGAGCTTTCAACACAGTGTGTACCTAAGTGGCCATGAGGGGCTTCCCATAGCTGAAAGCCCACTCATATGTAATGGGTGTGGAAAAACCTTCAGTGGCAACCTTGACCTTATTCAGCATCAGATAAACAGCACTGGAGAGAAGTCCTGTGAGTGCAGTGAATGTGGAACACCCTTCAGTCAGAACTCAGTTGTTAAAAAACCCCAGCGAGCTCACTTGAACATGAAAGCCTACCAGGGGCACACAGGCCCTGCTGGGCATCAGGGTCTCCCCAGCCGTGAGAAGCTGTATGTGTGTAATGAATGTGGGAAAGCCTTCAGCCAGAACTCAAGCCTTAAAAAGCACCAAAAGTCTCACATGAATGAGAAGCCCTATGAATGCAACGAATGTGGGAAGGCTTTCAGGCGCAGCTCCAATCTCATTCAGCATCAAAGAATCCATTCAGGGGAGAAACCATATGTGTGTGAGGAATGTGGTAAGGCCTTCAGGCGGAGCTCAAATCTCATTAAACACCACAGGGTTCACACGGGTGAGAAGCCTTTCGAGTGTAAGGAGTGTGGGAAGGCCTTCAGCCAGAGTGCACACCTCAGGAAGCACCAGAGGGTTCACACTGGAGAAAAGCCCTATGAATGTAACGATTGTGGCAAACCCTTCAGTCGTGTCTCCAACCTCATTAAGCATCACAGGGTTCACACTGGAGAGAAGCCTTACAAGTGCAGCGACTGTGGGAAAGCCTTTAGTCAGAGTTCCAGCCTTATTCAGCACCGACGAGTTCACACTGGAGAGAAACCGCACGTGTGCAGCGTGTGTGGAAAAGCTTTCAGTTACAGCTCAGTGCTCAGGAAGCACCAGATAATCCACACAGGAGAGAAGCCGTATGGATGTGGTATCTGTGGAAAGGCCTTCAGCCACAGCTCAGCCCTCATCCAGCATCAGGGCGTGCACACTGGCGACAAGCCCTACGAGTGCCACGAATGTGGGAAGACCTTTGGTCGCAGCTCCAACCTCATTCTTCACCAGCGAGTCCACACTGGAGAGAAACCCTATGAATGCACTGAGTGTGGAAAGACCTTTAGCCAGAGCTCAACCCTTATTCAGCACCAGAGGATTCATAATGGGTTGAAACCCCATGAATGTAACCAGTGTGGTAAGGCCTTCAACCGAAGCTCCAATCTCATTCACCACCAGAAAGTTCACACTGGAGAGAAGCCCTATACGTGTGTTGAGTGTGGTAAGGGCTTCAGCCAGAGCTCACACCTTATTCAGCATCAGATAATCCACACTGGTGAGAGGCCGTATAAATGCAGTGAGTGTGGGAAGGCCTTCAGTCAGCGTTCAGTTCTGATCCAACACCAGAGGATTCACACTGGGGTGAAGCCCTACAACTGCGCTACTTGTGGGAAAGCCTTCAGCCAGCGGTCAAAGCTGATTAAACACCAGTTGATTCATACCAGGGAGTAACTTGTGGGCTAAAAGGAGTAAAACTGAATCATGGTTCCTTTCTGACACCTATGGACCCTTGTTTCAGCCTCTCGCTTCCCAGGCCTGAGGCTCACTCACTGCCCTCCACTCCATACAAAGCCTGGAGCCCTCCTTGGAAACACTCTTTCCAGACTCCCTCTCCTTCCATTGCTTTCAGATCCTGTGACCTCTCGTCTATGTTTTTTCTGTTTTATTTTTATTATGAGCAGACTGTCACATTGGTTAGGTGGCAAAGAACATGAGGGCCACATATTCATGAATGAAGTTTATCATGATGATGAAAATTACCAAAAAGTAAAGTGATCTTTGATTGGAGATAACCACAATAACTCTTTTGTTAGTCATGGGAGTGAGTTCTCTGTCAGTGACTCTATATATATGTATATATATACATGTATACATATATATATACACACACACGCATATATACATACATATATTTACACACACATTTTTTTTTAATATGACATCAAGTGGAGGGAATTTTCAGGTCTGATTGCTCTCTTATTGTCCCCAGAGGTGGTATGCCAGTTATTCATTCTTCTATCCCTCCCTTTCTGCAACTTGTACCCAGACCCCCACTGCCTTGCTTCCCTGTGCATACCTGTGGTCAGTTAGTCATCCTTGCTGCTGTGCTATGACCCAGGTCCCAGCCTCTGGTTTCTGTGCCTCCAGTGCTGGACCCACAATGGCAGCTCTCTCTTTGTACCTCCTTTTCCAGTGAGGAAGCTTCCAGGATCAATCTTCTCCCAGATCAATCTTCATCACCATACATCTTTTAAGCAAGTACCAGGTGCCCTGCCCTAGGGCCCACCTCCTCAGTGTCCCCTATGCCCTGAAAAGGAGAAAGGTTAGGTGCAACATAGATGTTACAAGAGAGGCCTCTGAACTCCAGCCAGCAAGTTGCAACAACAGAGTGTCGCAGGACCCAGACAGAATCTGACCTACCACCTGTCAGTAAATAAAAGTTCTGTTGGGGTACAGCCATGCTTGTTTGCTTACACATATCTACAGCAGCTTCTGTGTGGCAGAGTTGAGTAGTTGTAGACATCATATGGCCCACCAAACCAGAGTATTTACTTTCTAGCCTTTAGAGAAGAAGTTTGCAACCTGGCTTTAGGCAGCTACCCTGTGGTAGGTGACTCTCAGGGCCAGGCTTTGCCAGGGGCTCACAGTTGTTGTAGGAATCAAGTATGATGACTTGATCAGGAGTATAGTTTGTGCTGTGCAGTGGTTTCCTGTGTACAGTGGATGGTTCCTGAGCAGTTGCCACAGCCTCTGAGGATCCCTCCCTTCTCACCTCTTCCTAGCACTATTCCTCAGGAGGAACATGCAGCCTAGCATGGACCTGAGTTCTTGCTTCAGTTAGTTTTGTGAGAACTAAACATCCTGGTCGTGGCAGCCTTGGTTAGATATTACCTTTCATAGAATATTAGAATCTCAGAATCACTAGGAGAGCTAAAGAAACAGGTTTGGGGCCAACTTCAGGAAAGATTCCAGAACCATCTGTGTAGCAGCCCTGCAACTTGTAGCTGTTCTCTACTAGGGAATCCTAGGTGTCTACCAGAATCCAAGTGGAGAAATAGAGAGCTGATAAATGAATCTGAACCTTAAAGCAGCTTTGGGATGGAGATGTAAACTTGAAAATCACTGGCATTTTTTTTTTAAGAGAGAATTTTTTTAAATATTTATTTTTAGTTTTTGGTGGACACAACATCTTTATTTTATTTTTATGTGGTGCTGAGGATCAAACCCAGAGCCCCGTGCATGCCAGGCGAGCGCACTACCTCTTGAGCCACATCCCCAGCCCCATCACTGGCATTTTTTAAGATGTGGGACTAGGAATGTAGCTTAGTGGTAGAGCTTTTGCTTAACATGTCTGGGGCCCTGAGTTCAGTTCCAAGCACTGCCAAAAATAATAATAAAATGGGATATGAATCTCTGGAAAAGCATGAGACAACTAGGGAGAGGACTAGGAAGGGAACTCGGGACAGAGGACTGATACTCCCATTGGCTAGTGAGAAGGTGGGTTTTGAGACACCCAGCATTAAATATTGTTGCAGGAGGAGCAACACAGTACCTGTGGGGAAGAGAGACGCAAGTGACCAGGAGTGGTTACCACATCAAACGCTGTGGTGAAGAGATGTGGCTGCCCAAAGACCTGCTTCGTTGGAGTAGGAGGGCAGAAAGGAGCCAGGCAGTGTGAGGCTGGTGGAAGTGGAAGGAAGAATGAATTAAGCCCTTCCAAAGCCAAGAGGGGTAAGTTTTGAACAGTCAGAGGCTTCTGCATTGCTCCAGGTACAGTGAAAATGGACAATATAGTTAGGTTTGTAGGTATGGTGGGAAGGTGAGGTTCCAAAATGGGGGTAGGGAAGTTGTGGACAATGTGAAGAAAAGGAAGAGTTGGCTAGGAGTAGGGAAGTTTGGACTTGAGCCGGATGGGCTGTGCCCCAAGTCTCAACCCAAAAGCAACATCTGCACTCTACTGCTGTAAAGTTTCACCTCCACCTCCACCGCCACACCCTTACCCAAGGCAAATCCCTGCAGAGAAACAGCCACCTCTGGAGTTTTGAGATCACTCCCTGCAGCATAGAAAGAAAAGGAAGGCCTACTGTTTTTTTGTTTTAAATCATGGTATATTTTTCTCAGAAGACGCTAAATACTTAATTCCTGGAATATCATGGTAGGAAACAAGTTGGGGAAAGCCTTTCTCATAGCAGTTGACTGGAGGATCCCCGTCTTGCCGCTATCCTGCTCTCTCTGCCCTGGCTACTGCCTGTGTCCAGATGGCACTTACAAAAAGGGCTCAGCCCACTCTCTGCCCTTGGTCAGCTCCATGTGTGACCTGGGGATTCTGGCTGCTGCAGGGATAGCCAGCATCCCTGTCCACCTCATGCAGGGTGGGTCCACCAATGAGGACAGCACTAATGTGGCAGGAACATGAGAGCATGACAATCCTGATTTTAAAGGTGGTTCTCCAGGCTGGCACATGTGAGGCACTTGGTTCAATCCTCAGCACCACATAAAAAATAAATAAATAAACAAATAAAACAAAGGTATTGTGTCCATCTACAACTAAAAAAAAAAAAAATTAAAAGTGGCTTCCCCAGTTTTTTTTAATTTTAAAATCGGCATCATTGTACAAAATGCAAATTGAGAAAAGCAGAAAAGATATCACACATAATTCCACCACTTAAATTCTCTAGCACTTCCAGAGCTAAGGAGGCATGATGTTTACTGAGCTCCCAAGACCATTTTGGCAAGAGCATGCAATGCCTAAGCAAGACTATGAACAGGAAAACATGCAGTGAGGAGGGAATACAGCAAAGTCCAGATGCCTCTCAAACCATGTGACAAGCAATGTGGGTTCACTTATTGTTTGAATGGAATCAGTTTGAGCCTTACCCCTCCGTATTCCCTGCAAAGAAGTTCAAATACCTCAAGCCCCTGCCTGCACATGGGGACTCAACCCCAACCCCTCTCTGACCATAATCAGATCCAAGTCAGTCCCCATTACACAATATTTACAATATTTACATACCTCCTAGGTGTGAAAGCAGCATCCATCATCAGTCTCAAATTTTCCAGTGGGAGTCCATTTGCCTCTACAGGTAACCATGAGGACTGTCACTGAGAGCAGGGTATTAGACAACTCCCATCTGCTTCTCAGGTGACCACAGGGTGAGCAGGGTGTTAGAGGAAAGCCACCACCTCCCCATGGGTGCCTGAGAGCTTGGCCACCCCTTCTCATAACAGGGGCTGGTGATGCCTGATTCTTGCACTCTGAGCTCCAGGTAAGTGGTCCAGCTGAGATGCAGCTAGTTAGGTAGTGCCCCATGCTCTCACAGACCAGGATATACATTTATAACTGATTTTGAAGGTTACTTTTTTTTTTTTTGGTACTGCAGATTGAACCCTGGGGTGCTCAACCACCAAGCCACCTTGCCAGCCCTTTTATATTTATATATATATGTGTGTGTGTGTGTGTGTGTATATATAATTACACACATATACATACATACATATATATATATATGTTTTTTTTTTTTTTTAATTTAGAGACAGGATCTCACTAAGTTGCTCAGGGCCTTGCTAAGTTGCTGAGGCTGGCTTCGAACTTGCAATCCTCCTGCCTCAGCCTCCCAAGCCATTGGGATTACAGGCATGTGCTACCACACCTGGCTTGAAGGTTGCTCTTTAAAATATCTCTCTCTGGGGTCTGGGGTTTTGGCACAGTGACAAAGTGCTTGCCTCGAACATGTCAGGCACTGGGTTCGATCCTCAGCACCATATAAAAATAAATAAACAACATAAAGATACTGTGTCCTTCTATAACTAAAATACTAAATAAATAAATAAAAACATTTCTCTCTAGTGTCAAATTGATCACTTAAATATAAGTTCTCATTTTACACCCAAAAAAGACTATCAGAGAGTTTTTGTTTCAATTTTTAATCTTAAACAATTGGTAAGTTAGGGTGTTTAAAATAAGGGCTCTTTTTTCAGTACTGGAACTGAACTCAGGGTCAAGCATATGCCGGGCAATTGCTCTAACACTGAACTATATCCCCAGTGCATATGAGTGTTTGTCTCTTTTTTTTTAAAAACACTTTTTTTTTTTTAAGTCATAGTTGGACACAGTATCTTTTTTTTTTTTCAGAGAGAGAGAGAGAATTTTAATATTTATTTATTTATTTTAGTTTTCGGTGAACACACATCTTTGTATGTGGTGCAGAGGATCAAACCGGGCCGCACGCATGCCAGGCGAGCGCACCACCACTTGAGCCACATCTCCAGCCCTGGACACAGTATCTTTATTTTATTTCTTTATTTTTATGTGGTTCTGAGGATCAAACTCAGGGCCTCACACATGCTAAGTGAGCACTCTACCACTGAGCCACAACCACAACCTCTCATTTTATTTTGAGACAGGATCTCACTAAGTTGCCAAGGATGGTCTCAAACTTGGGATTCCCCTGTCTCAACCTCCTGAGTAGCTGGGGTTACAAGCATATGCCACTGTACCTGGAAAACATAGGGTTTAAAAAAAAATACCTGCAACTCATATCACAGGCAGAGAACAGCACTTCTAAAACAAAAGAGGGGAAAGGACCAGGATCCCTACAGAAAAACAGGCAATTTCTACAACAGATAACCTTTGTTGTAGTCTGTTTTCTGTTACTATACCCAAATAACCAAAGCTAATAATTTAAAAAGAAACAGGTTTATTTTGGCTCATTGCCCAGTAGCTCTTAAGAGGATGGTACTAGCATCTGCTCAGCTTCTTGTGAGGCCTCATGGTGAAAGAGAGGGAGGGGAGGTGCAGGTTGGGTTTATAACCACCAATCCTGGAGATAACTGATGTACCCTCAGAGAAGCTACCTGAATTCCTTCTTGAAGGTGGCGCTCTAATGACCATGTGTGGAACCCAGGGCCTCACATATGCTAGGCAGGTACTATACCACTGAGCTACATCCCCAGCTCCTAATTACCTCTTTAAGACCCCACAACCTCTCAATACCATCCCCATGGACCAAGCCCCAACATGAATTTTGGCAGGAACAAACTATAGCCACCTCAAACATGAAAAGGTGCTCAGCTTCACTCACAAGATGCAAAATGAAATCATTTTCCCTCAGACTAGCAAAACCCAAAATATTTGACAATATACTGGATTCAAAGTCTTGGAACAACCCCATGGAAAGAAACCAAACAATATTTAGCAAAGATGCATTTACAATTGCACATTGACCAAGCAATTTCTAGAATGTATCCCAAAACTGAACTGGCAAAAAGGAAGAAAAGATGGGTATAAAACTACTCGTTACAGTGCTGATTTTAATAGCAAAAGACAGGAAACAGCCCAGGGTCTAGCAGCAGTGGACTGGTTGCACCCACTGTGGCATGTTCACATACTGGAGGGCACACAGCTACATAAGAACAAAGAAAACCTGAACCCTGTTAGGCAAGGCCTCGAAGATGCAGAACAGAGGCACAGAATGCTACTGTATACTGACATGCACCTGGAGCTGTTAAGAATGGAAGCAGGGGGCTGGGGATGTGGCTCAAGCGGTAGCGCGCTCACCTGGCATGCGTGCGGCCCCGGTTCGATCCTCAGCACCATGTACAAACAGAGATGTTGTGTCCGCCGAAAAAAACTAAAATAAATTCTCTCTCTCTCTCTCTCTCTCTCTCTCTCTCTCTCT